AATCATTGCAAGATCCTGAGACTTCAAAAATTAAGCTATCAGACTTTCATTTGAATAATAAGGACTTTGGGCACACCGTGTCAATATTTTTCAACTTTTGGATGATTTTAGCAATGCCAACAAGTTATTTACTTTATTTAATTTATTTAAAAATATAATGTAAAACCATTCTAGTACTTTAAATAAATTCCAGATGATCATACTGACCTATTTTGTACGGGAGATTGACACATCACTTTGATTTCAATTGCATTATGTTAAAAAGAGGATTTTTTGGAGCATTCCCCAGCATTTGTCCAGAATTTATATTTTACCTGATCCAGATTTTTCTGAAAACGCAACGCTGGTTGCGATATATTATTTCTACACGGCGAATGAGAACGACCCAAATTTGAGTTTAGTTAACTTATAAATCACATAAAGTGCAAGAACTCAGCGATGAGTAAATTTGCCTCATGTTTTTACCACGAAAAACTTCCCGAATATGAGAAAAGTAAAAATTATATTCACTCAGTCTATTGGTACTACTCCTAGACTGAGTGAATACTTCGTCAATTTTCCTCATTTTCCGGTACTTTCCGGTTGATTTCCTGAACTTTTGGCGATTATGAGTAAACTAAACTCAAATTTGGGTCGTTCTCGTTCGCTGTGTACCAAATTTTACCATTACCAACCGGTGGAAACCTAAGAGGAAGAGGTGACAACTTTTATGAACCAATTTTCTGTCAAAGGCGAACCAGCGCCTGATTGGTTGCGCGAACGTATAGATACGCGAGAATTTTTACAACAGGGAATCTATTTTCTTGTATTGTGAAAGTCGACTGCGTCGCCCACAATGAAATATTTTTTGCAAGGTCGTTTCCGCGAGAGAAGAAGAACAGGTCACAGACAAAAAGAAGCCAGTTGTCTCCTCTTCCTCTTAGGTGGAAACTAACGATTTAAAATTGGCTCACACTGGACTAGCCTATCGGTCCCAAGTTCATCGATTAACGTACCCCATTCTAGTTGAAATTCTAGTACTACACCATATTTCTACTTCTTTTTCTTCTTCTTATTTAATTTATTTAACGTCAGTCTCTGTTCCGTAATCTAATGCCAATCACCGAAGGACATCGATTGCCATTCATTGACGGTAATCAAACGTGCAGGAAGGCAGCTTCCACACCTGCGAAGGATATCGCACCCATTCAACAAACTGGGCCAGGACCAACGGCTTTACTTCCCTTCCGAAGAAAGACGTGACCAGAGATTTTTTGCCTCAGAAAAATCCCACCGACTTCGGCTGGGATTGAACCTTGACCCATTGGGGTGAGAAAGCAGTAAGGCTTACCACTACACTACCGGCGCCGGCTACATTATGTTTGTTTTGATTCACTATGAGAAACTTTGACTGATAAAATGAGGGGTTCGTGGAATTTCCTATGTTTCGAGGGGTTCATCGATTAGCTTGAGACCGAAGAGAGTATCAGAGCTGAGCCAAAAAGTTGAGCATGTTTCTTCGGGACCTTCTGGTCTTAAGGGCCACCCACATTAGATCCGTTTGCGTGGCGTTGACGTAAATTTGACAGTTAGTCTATAGATTTAGCTGTCACTTTGCCGCAACGCGTCCGATCCGGATCTAATGTGCGTGGGCCTTTAGAGTTACCTCTATGCTTTTACTAAGAAGAACAAAATGTAGAAATTTTCTCACCGCTAGAAGCACAGTTTGAAGAGAAATCGACAATTTTTCGAAAATCTTCATACCGTAAAATTGGTTTATCCACCACTGGCAGGGCAACATCCGTCGGATTTGATGGCGGAAACTATTACTCAATTTGCAAGTTCATTTATGCGAAACAAAGTTCAAAATATTGGCCCTTATTACCGATGTCACTTCACGGTGAAGTGACAACTTATCACTCACGGTGAAGTGATTCCCAAGCGGTCACTTTACTTCGTTTTCACCGTGAAGTAACACTCGTAATAAGAGCCATTGTATCAACAATCAATACGAAACTAACAATTTTAAATTGGCTCACTACTTGACTAGCCTATTGGTCCCAACCAAATCGATTAACGTTCCCCATTCTAGTATAAACTCCAGTACTACACTATGTTTGTTTTGATTCGCTATGAAAGTTTGATTGATAAAATGGGAGGTCCGTGGATTTTCCTATGTTTCGAGGGGTGCATCGATTAGCTTGGGACTGAAGAAAGTACCAGAGCTGAGCCAAAAAGGTTAAGCTCGTTTCTTCGGGACCTTTTGGTCTTAGAGTTACCTCTATGATTGTATCGCACACTGCACACCGAACTAGACAAATAAGCACGTTTCCACTTATTAAAATGTGGTCCATATTACCGATGTCACTTCACGGTGAAGTGACAACTTAACACTCACGGTGAAGTGATTCTGTTTACCTTGCATGCAAAATCTTGTTTTCCGCGATAAGCTCAAGAGATGTCGTTACAAATGTGCCATTTTTTTTAGGTACAATGTTTTCAAGAAAAACATGCTCAAAGCATTACGTCTGTTTGTCTGTGCTGCTACGGTCCATGCGTATCACTAATATCGGACTACACTGTAGCTTGAGCACGATCTAGTACGACAGAAAGACTTAAAGCTTCGCTCGCTCATTCCTTCCCAAAAAGCTCTGAGTTTTATCGGTCACTCACGGACGATGAGATCCACTCAAAATTAAGTTGAATGCAACTCAATTTGGCAGAAAGAGGATTTGCTCACAATTCTGCGAGTTTTTCCAGGAAAAACTTCTCGAATATGAGGGAGATTTCAAGTAGTCTTTAAGAATACTCCTAGACTGAGTAAATTTTTGTCGATTTTCCTCATATTCTAGAATTTTTTTTCCTGGAAAAACTCGTACAATTTTACTCATTTACTCACTGGAGACGAACCAGCCCAAGGCTGAAAGTCTCCTTTATAAAGGTATATAAAACAAATTGCTCACCTTGTGAGCAATTCCACATTTTGCATAATTGAGTCGAATTCAACTCAGTTTTGAGTCGACCGCTTCGTCCGTGCACTTGATTGCTTTTCGCTGCTGAAAGCGAAAAGCTATCAAGTGCGGGCAGTGCGGGCGATGCACTCAGAGCTTTTATCGTAAAAGTGCACGTTCGTTCAAACCGACTCAAAATTGAGTCGAGTAGAATCAAATTCGGTAACTCAAAAGTGAGTTTAATTTTCCGGGAATTTCCAGGAAAAACTTCATGAATATGAGGAAAATTGAAAAGAGGTTCTTGGATATTCCTCACATTCGAGAAAATTTTCCAAACTTGCCACGGCTTTTGCGCGGAAAATTCAACACACTTTTGAGTCAATCCACAATTTTAAGTTCATCTGAACGACCGTGTACTGCCCATAATCGCAAGTAAGTCCCATCTGTAGAAATCTGAAAATGAGAAAAAACGGCGTTCAAAGATTTTTCAAGTTTTCTGATTTGACACTTATTTTGGAGAAAACGTACAATGTGATAGAATGCATCTATGTTTACCCAAAAATATTGGAAAAATGTCGTGAAATTTTTATTTTATGGCCAACATCTGAGTGGGACTGACTTGCGATTACATTTAACGTCAATGAAAAAAATAACCGCAAGTCAGTCACAATTCCATGACGATGCTGCATTAGTTTAGCACAGTATTGAACAGTAGAAAAATACCATGGTTCCAACTTTATTGAATGTTTCTGGATTTGTTCCGCTGGAGCAATGGCCGGAACATATTCCGGTGAGTATGGGTCTTCATCAGACCAGAGCTTTTCATAAATGTGCTAAACCCACCATGCGACAAATCAATTCACATGAGAATTCAAAAATAAGATCAATAAGAATCATGATGAGTGACCAGCACCATGTTGGCCACACAAGGACATGTTCCGAATATCCCCGGGGAAGCGGTAAATCCTTTTTAAATCAAAATCCATCAAGCGATACATCAAAGAGAGCCATATTCATTGGCGGTCAAACTGAGTATCGTAAGAACTATATTGATCACATCCGGACATGTTCCAGATACCCTAGGGTAAGTGGACAATATCTGTCTAGACACAAATCTCATGATGCCAACATTTCTAACAATTTTTTTTTTCTAATGGGACTGGCTTGCGTTTACTTTTTGCTGTGGGACAGTTGGACTTGGTATTGTTTCTCATTTTTCTTGAACAAACCATCTTTTTTCAATAGCACATTTCAAAAAACATAGAAAGATGAACTGAATAATGATGCTAACTCAAAATTGATAAAAATGCAGATGGGACGTACCATGCGATAACCGGCAGTGTAGGTGCTAGTGAAGCTTTTAGTATACTGCAGTGTAGCCCGATATTAGCAAAATGTTGGTTAATTCAAATTTGCTACTCGTCTCGTATGAGAACGACCGAAATTTGAGTTTGCTTTACTTATAAATCACAACGTGCAGGAACTCTGCGTTGAGTAAATTTACCTCATGTTTTTCCTGGTTTGTCAAGGAAAAAAATCGCGAATATGAGAAAAGTAAACATTGGATTGTCTCAGTTTATTGGTACTTCTCCTAGACTGAGTAAAATTTTCGTAAATTTTCCTCATTTTCCGGCATATTTTTGAGGTTTTCCACAGGAAAACATGCGGCAAATTTACTCATCGCTGAGCTCCTGCACTTTTTGCGATTATGAGTAAACTGAACTCAAATTTGAGTTGATCTCATTGGCCTTGTATAACGCCATATACGCCATTAGAAACTCGACATCTAAACGTAGGACAAGACAGTGAATACCGAATCCGAGCTATGTTTGACCGAAAATGGATCAGATTATTCATCTGCACCGGAAATTACTGTCAGGGTGGACGATAGACTGATGGGGAAAGATACTAAAAGCATGAACGATCAGATCGATGGAACTTCCATCATTCTTGTCAAATGGGGATGGAAACGCTTGGTAGTCAACCACTTGTTCGAAATCTTCAGTGTAATTTAAAAATGCCTTGAAAGTATAAATATAAATGAGCCTACATTTTTACTGAAATCCTTACCCCGCCGGCAGTCAAATACCCTTCAGTGTTCGTTTCAGATTCGCCTTGCAGTTGCTGTCCATGTCCTTGTAGAAATATTCGTTGAAGAACTTGTGCTTCCGGAGCATCTTATACAGACGTTCGCCGTATTTCCTGTTTAAAACCGGGATCAAGCCAAATCGATAGTGAACATCGTCAATCTAAAGCAACTTACCTAGTTTCCAGGTTTTTGTCTGTCAAAAACTTGGCCAGCATGGTAAGGATCGCTTTCCTGGTTCTGGGGTTCGCGTTCGTCCCTAGGATGGCATCCAGTCCGGAAAGGGCACAGATGCACACCAGCAGTCTGGCGGTGGCGATGCGGACCAACGGGTTCTTGTGGCTGGTTGAAACCGAAAATGTACTCAGTATAATACTGCTTAACTTCATTCAAAACTTACACAGGTCCCCTCGCCGACAGGGCTCGCACCGAGTGCGAAATTGGAATATACGTCACCAATTTATCCAGCGCTACGTTGGCATCCTTCTGTATGAACCGATTGGGATCAGCTGTCTTGCACAGGATAACATCAACAAGTTCGTCAAACTCCGGTCGTATGGTTGACTTGGCTTCCCGGAACAGTTCTCCGGTGGCCTGGCAAGCCGTTCGACACAACGACGATCGTGGACTCTTTACGAAATCGATCATCTTTCTGTTGATCATGGCCATATGCTTTTCGTGCTGCTTCCAATCGATGTGGCTAGCGTCTTTCATCAGTTCGCGAATTCCCTGTAGACTAACCTCCCAGATGTGATCTTGCAGCTTGTCGATGATCTTGTTGATCCGAGTCGTCCCAAAGGTCGAACATTCGTCGCCCAAGGAATCGTTCGATGGGTTACTACTTTCCGAGCTCATGTTCAGCGAATCATCCTCGTACTCGACTTTGTCGCTGTCCAGCTCCGTGCTGGTGTTCTCCACCTTGGATGCCGGATATCTTGTCTTGCATTTCGGTGACTTTGAAGCCGGCAGCGAGAAGCGATCCCTGGAGCGAACGTTTCGGGTGTACTTCCGTTTGGAGCAGGGCCGTTTCTTCTTCGTTCCAAAGTACGGAGTGGTGGGTGCGACCGAACGATGATTTTTCGGTTTGATCAGGATCATGTCCACGGGCCTGGCCGTGGACTTGTGGTAGGGCTTCTTGGAAGGGTTAGTTACCACGGTGTAGGAAGCGTTTTGTTGAGTCTGGCCGGCACTGGGTGCGTTGGAGGACGATTCACTATCCGAACAGCCGCCACCATCGTCGTTCGGATGGGGCGAGAGGATGTTGCGGACGTCGTTCTCGCGCTTCTGGGATTCGTAAAGTTCGACGATGGTTTTGCTCGTTTGACTGCACATGTTCCGAGGGAGCAAGGGAAGTTGGACACCGGACTGGTGGTGACTGTACGAGTGGAAGGAGTTCTTCTTGGTTATGAAGTTGTTCGGAAAGCGAAACGTTTGCTTGACTTTGATGATTTGGGGGTAATTCTTTTCGGACTGGAAGGGCGGGGAAATGGGAAGGTGGTAAGAGCTTGGTGTAGAAGAATTCGTTTGAAGACAGTTCAAAATTTAAGCAATGATCTCTTAAAAATCTCTAGAATAAAGATTTCCATTCTATTTAAGAATGTGACTCATCGTTTCTATAGATACTCAATTCGGTTTACATGATTTTAATTTTCTGATGTCATGTCATCGATATTTTTCATACAATAGGATTGAACGCAAAGTGGTCCACAGCAAAAATCGCTAAAATCGATTCCGATTCTGTGCATATGAAAAAGTGGGCTTGCCGGGATGTTTTTTTTTTTTTTTTTTTTTTTTTGTAGTGATCCAGTGGCAGCAACTTGCTAAAACTCTACACTGGACCCCTTTTATTGATAAATTTTGCTTCTATGAGCCTCTATTTTAAATCAACACACAGACGTTCCTAGGCTATGGTGCCCGTGTGGTCACTGTTGTTTTTGTGCTGATCCAAATAGTTTTGATAATATAATTGCGCATTCTTGTTTTTTTAAAAGGTTGATTTTCGTCCCAGTCTTGTCTTCTGTCGTCACTTATTTTGTCATTTTGTCTTGTGTATTAACCCCCACTTGTCTTGTTTATTGTGTCAACTTGTGTCTATTGTCCTTCCCCATCTGTTACTCTGTCATGACTAATTTCATTGATATATAAAAATAGTAATATCAATTACAGGATAATATGGTTATTTCTCGATTACTTTTTCAAAGGGAAGCACCAGCTCCTGCAAACAATGCATCCGATCGTCGATCCGGCGCAACCGGCATCTCGCACACGCTTATCAACACTACCAGCAGATAGAGGAAAATTTCCCCTATCTGATGATAGTGCCAGCACGCGCGGGCGAGCCACCAGTTACGCCAAATCGACGACCAAACGCACCGCCTACAAAAGCCGATACGCTCCCTTGAAAAAGTTATCGAGATTTCTACTAATTAATGAATTATTGACAATTACCTCTCATGATCCTTGGCTCTGATTTTAACTTACCACTTTTTGATTATTTATCAAATACCTCTCCCAGAATATATAACTCCCCGATGCTTTGTTGGTTTCTGGTCTCATTTGGATTGGTCCTGAATTTGTTTGACATCCTGTTCGAAGTAATTCTTTGAGTTCCAGCTTGTACGTGTCTCACGTCATATAAGTCGCCATTCATAAAGATAATGGGTTAAAAGGTAGATTAGTATTAGTTGTACTTGATCCAAACAATAGAAAGAAGCATAGATGACTTAGTAGAAAAATAAAACTAATAAATAACTAAAAGTGCAATGGATAAGTGTTAGTTCCGGGATCATTTTAGTGTTAGTAGTTATGTTAGTTTTGATCCGTATTCAGCCCTGCTGGCCCCTCAAGCACTATTTGCAGCAATTGTGATAAGATTATGCGACACTGCTACTACTACCCTACTACTATGTTAGATGTATGACTTGTCAATTTTCGCAACGCAATGTCTTTCAATAAATCACTCAATCAATTTGATGTTTGAAAATTTGCTCAAAAGGGCTTTGTTGACACCTCATACCTTACCGAAAACTAAAGCACAACAATCCTAATTCTTATTTCAAACCTATCAACATATTTAACACATCTTTCCTAAAACTTCACTTGTTCGTAAGCGCCTGGTTGAAGATATGACTTTCGCTATTGACATTGTCTGTAATTAAAAAAATACATTAAATAGGAAGATTTATTATACAACTTCATAGGCTAGTCGCCTCGCTAAGCGGACCCCCCGCGTCCTATCTCTTATGTTAATTAACTTTCTGAATTCTATAATTGAAGTTTATTTAATAAATAACTGAAATCTCTAATCTACCTACATAACCCATGCTTTTAAACTACAATTTAACGTGTTTCAAGTACTTCTGGCTTTTACATATCTTATCTTATATCTTTGTTCGTCCCAGATGACACCTTCAAGTGACTAAAATGCTTCACTTTGAAGTTAGTTTCCAAGCTAATTTTAAATTGTATATTGTATAGGGTAAATGTTCCAACTACGCTCTCACGTTTCCACTATGTCGCACCACAAAAATACACATGGGTATGTCACAATAAAAGCACACCACAGTGGAAAACCCGAGTCATAGTTCAAACACTTATCCCAAATCAAAATGAAGCACATATAAGATTAGTTACAATACCATGTACAAAAATGATGTTTAACATTGTTTTCTGAGTAATACTTCAATGAAAACAACAATGAAAGCTTGTCACGCAAATAGAAGGAGCACTGTTGGGCACTTTCTGAAATATTTCAATAGTATAATTCCCTTGCAAACCCAAATAAATCTATCTGCGTAAAAAATAAATAAAATAAGAGTGATTTGCGGCAAAACCCGCCAGTATCACACCCAACGTCAGTGCCTATACGTAAGCGTACTACGACGCGGCTCTCAATAAAAGGAGTAACAAGTGTGATACTATCACTGCTAGACTAGATCTTTGGTTCTCTCATGCAGCGGTTTATCAAAGAGGGGAAGCTTAGTAATCCCCATCGCCTGCCCATGTCGCCATTCTATCGCGGCATGAGCCAGCAACGCCGACCATAAACCTACCGTCTCCAACACTCCACTATAAAGCATGAAATTAAGCCCGCCCACCAACAGCAAGGTGCAAAAACTAGCCAAGGGGAGGGGAAAAAGTGGGCTTGCCGGGATGTTGAACTCTAACCCTTCCCTCTCTACGGCAGTGAGTTGGTTATAATAGTTAAAACATTACAGCTGTTTATATGTGAGTCATTTTTATTGAATACACCCTTTAGATCATACATAGTATAATTATTGAAATACTTAATTAATTTTCGAAGAATTTTTACTTAAATTACTTTCAATTTACACTTACAATCTGTATTTTTAATGGGTTTTTTATCACAAAACTATTTTTATTTTAACTTTCATAATTTTAAATATTATTCCTGGACATTAGGGTGGGTCATCATGATCATTTTTGCAGAACAATGTTTGCTTGATTCCCTACTTTTTCGTATTTTCATTCCTAGGGACCACAATTTTGCTTCAACCATGCAACTAATCACATAAAAATATGGCTCAGGAAGTGCCTAACAACTTTTGGAGTTTCTTATCTTAGAGATTTGGTATGTTCATCTGAATTATTCAAAAACAAAAGCTCAATCTCATAAGCGTAGTTAAAAAGGGGAGGGGCTTACTATACCCCCGCTGCCTCACTCATATCAATGGAAGTAAAGCTTCAAACTGAAATAACTTCGGTGTTTCTCATCTTGTATGTATGTATGTATGTTCGAACATTTGCTCAATCTCATAGGCGTAGTTCAAAAGGGCAGAGCCGCCACTACTATCTATTGTGTTTGCTGAAACAAAAAGCAACTGTAAAATTACAGTTTACCAGTGGTCAATTAAATCGCGTAAACTTGTATTTCATTTCACGCAAACGAGCAACATGTAAGCAATGTTGTTAACAAATGTGGGCTTTTGTATACAATCATTTAGTATGCAATCATATTTAACACATACATTTAGACAACTTTTTCGAACTGTGCACTCGAATTTTGCTCGTTAGGTTTGCTTTTAGTTGGGCTGTCTGCTCTCGATTTTGTCAGCCTGCAGATTTCACTACATTTTCAGTTTTTAAACATGAATTCTTAAACTTATTTTCTCATATGAATTCGAAAAATGGATCAAGGATCAATTTATGGTAGTTCTGAGTAGTTTATTTATAATATTAAGCCAATATACATAAAACGGGCAATAGGGCTGCCCATTCTTGAAATTTAATTTGTGAAGATATCAAAGCTTCTGGTCATTTCCGGATGTGACACTATCGCCCGGAGGGTGTCGAGCCATTTGGACGAATGGTCATTACCACAGACTAAATAAATTTTGACGAGCCTTCTTACACAGTAGTTATATTTTTAAGAATGTAAACAATTAGATATTTGTTCTGACTATTTGGACGCTCCAGAATCTTGGAAATTTATCCATGTCCGAAATATTTTAAAATAAAACTACCTGAATATCTGGATCTTGATTCTTTCTTTTTGACCAATATCAGAAAAAAAAAATCTTTTTTGGAATTATCCTAATATCATAGGAAATCCTATTCAGAGTTTGCTTGGAATTCTACTCAGAAATATCTAGAGCTCCTCGAGACTACCTTGAAAGCAGATTGCACTTGATTTTTTCCTCACAATTCTTCCCAGAACTTCCTTGGAATCAGTTCTCTAGAAATTATCATCCAATTGCATGAGCCTTGAAAATTATGCTGTTTTTTTTAATCTGTGATCAGCGATAAGAAATAGAATGTCTAAAAAATATTTAAAAATTTTAATTTGTAAAAAAAATCATATTCCAGAAATTCAGTTTGTGAAAGAAAATAACGTGGACAATTAGATGTTTGCTTAATAAAATGTATAATATTCTTTAAAAAAATCCTTAGTAAGTGAATTTGAAAATTTCCTGAAAATTCTAGGATTTTCCAGAAAAAATAAAAGTCCCCGAGAAGTCCCGGTTTTACATGTTTTTTAGATAGTCGACAATCTGAATTTCTATAGAACTTATTTCTTCTTCTTTATCTTCCTGACATGTCCCGAGTCCAATATGAAATTGCCTTATTTATCCATCTATTATTTGCTGATTATTCTCTTCCTGATTATTCTTATTCCCCCGAAACACCAGAAACATGTTCTGATGTGATCAGTGGGTCCTGGGTACTCAACATAATAGCCAGTCATCATGTTTTTAATGTTCCTTTGATTTTAACATCAACATCACGGAATTCAGAAGCTCTACCTTTGGTCTTTGGCATATCGAGTTATAGAATCAAAATAACACTACATAGATCATCGACCAAAGGAGGCATCGACTTGTAGAAATATCGACTTATGGAGAGTACGATGGATGGGAAAATGAAGGGCCCGCAGAATCCATCGAGTTATATAAAAAATCGAGTTATAGAATATCGAGTTGTGGAATACATTGCACATAAAACTTTTGATTGACTTTCAATTTTCAAGAGATTTCGCCATCGTCAAAACTCGAATTTGACGGAGATACATAATATCGTCATTTGAAAGGCACGATGCTTCAGCGCAGTCAGTCCTGTCAGCTTTTGTTTAAGCCGCCAACGCAACTTCCACTGTAACATTCCCCTACTCGACAGTACTGTTTATTTACGTGGGCTACCTTCGGTTTACGATCAAAGGACTGTCACAATTTTGCTCACAAAAGCTGATAGCCCCTTTTCAATTCGAGTATAAGTACAAGATACTGAAGAAGTCTGCACATTGTAGACGAAATACGCGTATCTGTCAAGGATAAGCAAATAACAAATAAAATACTAATCTTTCTCTCTCTCTCTCACTCTCTCTCTCTCTCTTTATACCTTTTCAATTGTTGGTCGATAGGTTCTAGGTTTTTTTTTTGCAATACCACTAATATTTATTTATACAAATAAACGATACTTACTGTTAGAGGAATCAGTCTCCTACCTGATTGTGTTGTTAGTTTTCAAGATTGAGCTTTTATTTGCGAGAAATCGGTGATTGAAGTAATTGTTTAAAAACACAGTTACGCCAAATCTTAAATCAGTCCGGACATAAAGGTTCGCCGTGGTTTGTTGTTAGGCTCAAGGGAATGAATCTACTTAATTTTAGTGCATTAATCCCAATCGCCACTGCCCCCCCCCCCCCCCTCCCGCTCCTTTGTCATCAGTTTTGTCGATTTAACCACAAATTTAGCAAACCACTTTTCCTTGTTATAATAAATTGTCTACATTTAACAGGTTATACCCTTTGGAGCCGTTAATACCAATCTGTACCAAAAATCGCCTTGGCCTCGCGTCACCCTTAGAATCTCGAGTTCTCACGTGTTGTATAACATATTATTTAAAATACAAAAGTCTACACCTCACGGGCACTTAAGGGTTCTGTTATGGGACCATTCCGCATTTCATCGACGCCACATCTGACAATCTACTTGAAGGAAAGCTAACGCCTCGAAAAAAAAATGGTGGTGTTGTGTATAAGACACGACCGCATGGTTGACGTACACTACGTTAAGCTGTGTGTGAAATTCTCGTGCATTTTTCTAGATATTGATTTAAAATACAGTAGAATTAACCTATGAGTTCAGTCCTATGCACATATTTTGGATTTCCTACTTAGTAAAACTTGGTTAAATTCAAGACCTCATTAAAATGCGAATGCATATTCTATTATATTTGGTTCCTAAATTACAATCAGATATGAGCAAGGCCTGCTTCAGGTGATTTATTGAAGCGTCTAACAAATACCGTCATGATGGTTGATATTCCCTATCACTTCAAGATTTCTAGGGCACAAATCTTAGATGTTTGTGACATCACGCATGAAATTGAAGCTCCTTGTGTACTGCACTGCAGCAAACGTGACTAAGACTAAGTGCGGTTTGTGCTTAATAGGCCGGGAATGGGGTAGTTAACCGTAATGAGATTGATTAGAAATAAGGTTTCCACAGCGATTCAACTTCAAAACGCAAAAAAATGCACACAAAAAAACGGAGCGCAAAATTTTGCACCAATGTTATGCAACATTTCGTAGTTGATCGGGAATATTTCGATTAGCCATAAATCCCTCCAATAAGTTATCGATTTTTTTCTTTTGTTAATAACTCGCTTGGATTAACATTTCTCGGTGCGTTTGCTGTTGGTTTTGTTACAACACCACATTGAAAAAAAAAATCAAATAATATTCAAGCTGAACTTTGCATTAGGTGCTAAGTAACTTTGATCGATTCTCTTGGTCGACTTTTTCTTTCGTTAATAACTTGAGCATATAACCGTTTCTACCTGGGAATGTCTTTAAATTGGCGAGGGGATACAAGAAGAAAGTCGACGAAGAAAATCTTGTCAATGTTAATTATGACCTGAAGCAATGTTCTGCTCGAATTGTTTCGCTTAGCTATTGCAATGTAAAGAGAAAAATCGATGAAGAGAAACGATCATTGCCAGTAGGCCCGTTTGAACGCTCACTGTTGAATTTCAGTAGCTAGCACTAAAAAAACTCGACGGTACCTCTATTTATGGTATAGAACGGTTTATAAAATCCCAGATTTTTTACTGATGGGGCGAGGCATAGCAAGCCGTTCTATTTAAAAATTCTTCAAGTAGGAGGGACTTGCAATGCTTACCTCGTAAGTCCCTCCTACTTCGAGAATTTTGAAATAGAACGGCTCGCTATGCATTGCCCCCATTAGCAAACAATCTGCGATTCTATAAACCGTTCTATAGCATAATTCTAAATGGAGTTACCGTCGGATAATTTCAGTGCTTGGTATAGAAATCTGTAATCTGTGCAGGGAAATCCTTTTTTTCCCACCACAGAAACACCTCGTGTTCGTATGCAAAATAATGGAGAATCAAATGGAGGGATTTCAAGCCTTAAATATTCCTATCGCGAGATATTAACGATTAATACCCAAATTTCACATAATGTCCAACCCGTTTTGTGTGTGTATGCTGCTGATTTTCACTGTTGCCCAATGCTTAGGGAACTTTCATAAATAACGTAGTAGTTGAGGGGGAATCAAATTCTCATGTGCTCATGTTGAGGGGGAATCAAATTCTCATGTGCTCATGTGGGCTGCAGTTTGCTGCTTGCAGGCAGCAGCCTTTCGTTGTGTACTGGAGAACAATGTTCAACACCACGCGCCGAAAGCACTGCTGCTGCTGCTGATGATGCCGACGACCGGACACCACCACACACGGTGATTGGAACTGAATTCGATCAGCGGTTGAGGGCAGCCTTGATAGCTAACTGCTTGCGGGGAGCCTTTCGTTGTGTACTGGAGAACACCACCACTCACCACGCGGTGATTGAATAAACACCGTTTGGTGAGACCGGATGGAATTCAACTTTGAAATCTGTGTTAGGGAAATCGCTTTTCGCAGGCAATCGGTGATAATTTTAATTATCATAGTAACAGGTGCACATTCGTGCAATTTTCAATCGTGACATTTTGAAAAATGATAAAGTCTTAAATTTAAAAGATGCGTCGAAATATTTCTGATCGATTGGTGATAAAATTATTGAAATTGGTTCAGGGGCAGCTGAGTTATTAACGTTCAAAATGTTTCATAATTTTGTTACATGTTCCATTTTTGGTTTTCACAAAGTGTACCCCCATATAGAAATCACAGACATAGTCCTACGTCAAAATAATGAGAATTTTTTTCTCGATTGTGTCTGTTTCCCGTTTTTATCGTCCTAAAATTTGAGAACGGACTGGAAAAAAATCGGTAAAGGTCTGTATTTTTCGCTGAAAAACATTATTTTTCTCTACGCGACCAATCAAAACAACTCAGCGAATGAATTCAATTGACTCAGAGCGTTGTATTTCAATACAAAATTTACTCATATTTGGGAAAACCTGCAGTTACTCATTAGCTATGAGTTTCTGCAGGTTTTTTTTTCCAAATATGAGTGAATTTCGTATGGAAAGAAAATGTTCTGAGTCCAATTGAATTCAGTCGCTGTGTTGTTCTGATTGGCCGTGTACAACTTTGTCTCATACGTCACTTCGAGCTGAAGTGCCGTTACCGTGCTAAAATTGAAAAAATGTCAAAGATGCCATTTAGAACATTTACCGGTTCCAAAATGGCCGAATTTGAGCAAAAATGTGAATCATTCATTGCCCATAACCAACAATTCTATATAGAGCAATAAACAATGACTTCTATCGTTGATTTCTAGGAATTTAAGGCACGTTCACGCAGACCAACCTAACCATCGGATAGGGGAAGTATTTCCCTACCCGATGAGGATGCTGGTTTGCGTGGGCGAGCCTTGAATTTCTGTTCCTTTGGTTTGTTTTTTCCGTCGACCTTGTTTTCCGTGCTGAGCACCAATGCTACCGACGTGCCAGGAAGGCAGCTCCCACACCTGGACCCTACCTATCGACCCATCAACTCATGAACCGGGGACCAACGGCTTTACTTCCCATCCGAAGGAAGGCGTGATCAGAGATGTTATGCCTCAGAACATCCCGGCGGCGCCGACTGGGATTGAACCCAGGCCTGCTGGGGTGAGAGGTAATCACGCTTACCACTACACCACCGGCGCCGTTAAACCTTGAATTTCTAGAAATCATCAGGAGAAGTCGTTGTTTACAAAAGCTGTTAGGCCCTAATTCCAGCTCTATCTAGAATTTTGCAAAGTTTCATGCAAATCGGAGAAGGTCGAGTTTTTTCCGATTTATTATTTGGAGTGGAACTGCTCCAATACCAACATTTTGCTAGACATTTTTTTTCTCATGGTTTTCTCCCGTGCATCTTCCCCAAATTGTATGTAACCCGTTACATCTAGATGATCCATAATATTTGGCTAATAACCCTCAATGCATACCTTAATCGAAATTGGCTCCAACTGAATAACATCCAAATCCTGGACCGTTGCCCCTCCGGCAGCGAACAACGCCCTCGAATTCGACGACGACGACGACGACGAGGACTCACTTTGTTCCGAATTCAGTAATTCTCCAGCCTTACTGTTGTTGCTCCAGCCCCGATGTAGCTGCTGCTGCTGCTGCTGCAACTCGAACGAATCCGTTTCAAACAGAGGAAACTCCTTCTTCAGCTCGGAGATGTCGTTGTTCTGTAGAAGAGAAATTTTTCCCCGTCAAATCACGCGCGGACTGCTATGCTCCGTTCCTAGATCTTACCAAAATATTCTGCAGGTAGTCGTTCATTCTGCGGAACCCGCGCACCAACAGGACCAGCAGAGCGAGAAGAGCACACAATCCCCGACGAGCAGGGCTAATTTCACGTACGGGAAGGTTGAATTTCGAGCGAATTTTGACGGCGCGGATCGAGAAACCGGAAAGGCGAATAGTGATGACAGTGGCGTTGACAGGTTGCTTCGATTGACTAGTGGATTCGTTCGGATAGGAATGATGACGGCCGGATGAGAATCACTATTATCTTGTTTTTATTTTCCTCTGGTTGGTTTGTTTTACCGTTAACACTTATTTTGCGCCTTCAGTTTTAGAGCCTTCTCCTTCGGAAAGGGGGAGGGCCAACAATAATTTATCAGGTTTTACCTTTTTAGTTCTTGTTTTTTTTTTGCTGTGTGTGTTTGTGTGTCCAATAATTTTTATACGGTTGGGTTTAATACGGTAATACGGTTGCGACTTTTTTTTTCTTTATTTGGTATTTCGCCTAAATGATATCTAAAGCGTACACTTAACGAGTTCCATACGGGTATTGTTTTTACCTAAACTCACAGTTTAATATTTTTGTGTGTATGTGTAATTTTCTGGTATCATTTCAATAAATTCTTCACGTTATGGGTATTATTTTTTTCCAATGCGTTCCCTAACAGTTTGTGTCACTACTAACCGGTTTGTTTTTATTTCAGGAGGGTTTGTTCGTCTCTATTGTAAAGCCACCATTTTATGCTTCTTCACTGGTGTTTGTTTTAGGACTCATGCAGGGTTCCCGCAAGGAGGGTAGTTTCACTTTCGCTACCACCTTAGTTGATTTAGTTGTTTCTCTATAGTTTTTTTTCTCGCTAGCAGTATTTAGTAGTTAGTAGTCGCGCCTATTGCGCCGGGTTCATCTCGGTTCTTGGTTGTCTATATTCTCATCTACGGTTGGTGTATAGGACCTTCTTGTAACAGTTGCATGTATGTTTTCATCACCTTTCTCTCTAAATGGTCGTCACAAATATAATCAGTTTGTTATCATCGTTACGTTCTAACATTTTGCTTCGTTTGTTTTTTTTTGTTTTGGTTGGTTACAGCTTTGATTCTTTTTGATTTTAAGAGGACCTGTGCGGTTGGTTTTAAAACGTTTTTAAATTTTGTTGGTCTTCTCCAGCGCGCGTGATATGTAACCGAAATGAAATTCTGGTTGCTCCATCGGAGTTCGGTCCGGTATGTTTGAATGAGGAATCGAAAAAACGACGGTCTAACAACCTACAAAACGAAAAACTTGAGTCTGTTCAAAAAGTGTTTGCTACAATTCAGGTTTTCGGTTTTTTTTTGTTTTGGGATGGTCATCGAGAGTAAAAATGATTATCTTGATTCCCCTGGGGCAGACATGGGTTGCGGTTTGTTAAGTGTAGTAGTGCACACGGAAGGAAGTTCGGTTGTTGTACAATTACGATTACTATATAATGTAGTTATCTCCTCTATGATAATAGGTAGGCTATATATTGCACCTGAACCGGAGAGGGGGAGATGAGGAAATCAACTTCCTAAGCGTTTCGAGATCTCATTAAAATATCTACCTTCTTCTACGGAATGACTAAGTTTGTTTTCTGGTTTTTTTTTTCTTCGATAAGCTATGGCCCACTAGCGTAGGGTTTCTCAATCTCAGCTTACATGTCTATTTTCAATTTATCTTTATTTGTGTAAAGTACCTTAGTATTTTCTTCTATTTAACAAGTCCTTTTATCATTCCGTTTTCTAGTTTTTCCCGCTCTCTCTCTCCGTATATCCCACTCTACGAAAGTTTAAATCACTTCTTTTTCATTCAGTTCTTCCTTGATTTTTGGACCATTGCGTTGCATCGTGTCAAATGGAATTGTGATTTGAAATCGTTCATTGTTTTTTTAAAGCATTAAGAAACAAAACGATAGCGTTGAGGGAAGCCAATGAACAGTTGTGAACAGTTGAAAAACATAGGTTTTGAAATCGAGAAAATTTACCAATCTCACACGGCAAATTAATCTGACTCATATTTGAGTCCCATTCACTTAAATTCGTAAAAACGTAGGTCGCTCATAGATGAGTAAATTTTTACTCCTATTTGAGGAACATTTATTCATATTTGAGTAAAATATGACTCATTCTACGTGTGACCTACTTCTGTTTTATCGAATTTGAGTGAACGGTCATGAGTCAGATTTATTTGTCGTGCACGCTTTCTCGTACGACCCTGTACCAAAGAGAACAGACGTTGAGGCTCGAACAAAATTTCTGTAAATACTAGTGTGAGTTAAGTGCCACCAACGCTTACTTCAAGCTCTGGGGTTGCACAACTTGACACTAAGTGCCGGTAGAGCCGAGTAGCAATTTTCATCGGAAAATGTATCGAAACTTGCGCCAAGTTGGTCGAAAGTGGAAAATGTATAGAGGAAATCAGGAAATACTAGCGCCACGTACCGGCGATGCTCCCACTTATTTTAACACAAGTTTCTAGTGGAAGTTGGACGTCTCTTAGCTGTGCCTGTACGACCTCTAGAAAACATACACATTCTTCGCCATCTACGGCTCAGAAAGGAAATCTTCCATCAAATTTAGCGAAGATTTCCACCTTAAAAGAGATCTTTACAGATCTGACTCACATTTGAGTCCCGTTAACTCAAATTCGGAAAAACGTTGTTGGTTTCTTGAACAATTGATAGATTTCGGGGACAGTAGGTTGTTCGCCTAAAGTCTCCTATCCGCCGTGATGGGGCTGCCATCTTGGGTGTAGCTTCCGGGGAAGAGCCTTTCTTATTCAGCCGCTGGATGCCAGTCAGACGCTGTTCGAGCCGCACCTCCATGGTGGACAGACGCTCGGGTTTGGCGAAGCATTTCCTCTACCGCCGTGCTATGGTTACCGCGCCAGTGTTCGCGTCGCTCCTCCGCACTCTGCTACTGTCGGATTGATAGCACTGCACCACAGACAAACAGACATCTCTCGAGCTTCTCGCGGAAAGCATGGTTGCTCGCTAAGTCGCTAACGATGTTGCATGCAAGGTAAACAGAATATACAGAAACGTCAAAGTGATCCGGTGCCAGCGCTGCGGTGAGCAGTTTGCGCAAATTATAATATTCAAATCAATCGTCAAATGCGTGAACGATGATCCTGAATGCAGCGCTACGTCTGTTTGTCTGTGACTGCAGTGCGGTCCGAAAAGGCAATTTAGCGCACGGCGAATGAGAACGACCCAAATTTAAGTTTAGTTCACTCATAATCACCAAAAGTGCAGGAACTCAGCGATGAGTAAAATTTGCCTCATGTTTTCCCAGGATTTTCCAGGGAAAAATTCCCGAATTTGAGAAAAGTAAAGATTGGATTCACTCAGTCTATTGGTACTACTCCGAAATTGAATGAAATTTTCGTCAATTTCCTCATTTTCCGGCAGATTTTTTAAGTTTTCCACAGGAAACCATGAGACAAATTTTACTCATCACTGAGTTCGTGCGCTTTTGGCGATTATGAGTGAACTAAACTCAAATTTGGGTCGTTCTCATTCGCCGTGCGGGAATAAATCGTTTCTATTCCTTTTAGAGCAACCATACCAGTCGTTGCCATTTGCGACCAGGGTGCCTTCCATTCATTTTGACTAAAAAAATGTTTTATGAAATTATGGAATAATAAGATATTATAACAATATTTTGTTCGTGTAAGCAACAAGAAAAGATTGTGGAGTTTGTGTTTGACACATAATACCAGCCAATGTTGCAGCATGAGAGTCGCAATAAGTGATTTTGTCATTTATCTCACCCACTCTTCGCTCTTCACTCTTCGCGAAGAGGCGATCAGAAAATCGCTCATTGTGGCTCTGTCAAAGCTAAATTTGCAGGTTTTATGTGTCAAACACAAACTTTAAAATCTTTTCTTGTTCCTTACACATACAAAATACCATCATAATATCTTATTATTCCATAATTTCATAAAACATTTTTTTAGTCAAAATGAATGGAAGGCACCCTGTTTGCGACACTATTTTACTTACGCACAGCGTTTCCATTTTGGCTTAATCACTCCTCTCCACACCGGTCGTTGCTATCAGAGTCATAATTTAAGTTACCGTTTTCCACACCGGCAAAACAAACTTTTGACGTTTATTCAAAATAGCAACCGTCTGATGCGTTGCTACCGGGTTGCTAAATTTATGAACTCGCTACTTCCCAAGGTGCTGATTGCTATTTCCCCCACCTGAATAGCAACCCCTGGTACGCAAGTAGCGTTATGGTAGAGGTTGGTAAATGTGCCTTATTTACTCATTGGTACGGTTGCTCTTAGGGGGTAAGGCCCAAGCACAATGACAGCGGAAGCGGAAAAGCCCGATCTGAGTAAGCCTACTTGTCGGATTGAAAACTAGTTAGGATCAAATCGACTTCGGTTAGGCATCTTGATGTCATTTTTGACAATTCAAGATAGAGCTAGAATAAGGGCGTAACAGTTTTTGTAAACAATGACTTCTTTCGATGATGTCTTGAAAGTCAAGGCTCGCACACGCAAATCAACATCACCATCAGGTAGGGTAAGACTTCCTCTACCCGACGGTAATGTTTGTTGGCGTGGGCGTGCCTTGAATTCCTAGAAATCATCGAGAGAAGGCATTGTTTACAAAAACTGATACGCCCTAATTCTAGCTCTATCTAGAATTGTTAAACTTTCCGTTTCCGTTCCGCTGCCGCCCACATTGCGTTTGGGCCTTTAGTGTCTTGCTAGAAGATGTTTATAATTAAATGGATCTTTTTTTCGTAAAAAATATGATTAGGGTGGTCCTCATTTTAACTTAAATCATTAATCTAACTTTTTTGCTTTAAGTTATAGGTGGTTACATTCTTCAGCAAAGTAGTAGAAAGCAATACTGCAAGCAACTTTGCTTACGAGATATTTTTTCTAGCTCTTCATTTGACTATGCTAGATCTTTTTTCTGCTTTAAGGTAGGGTGCCCCTATATTTTTTTTTAATTCTAATTTTTTTCATCCAATTGTTTTGAAAATTATGACCAACATTTTTGCAGAACAAAGTATTTGGGTATAGCTTAACTTTTAAAAGTTATGGGTAGCAAATTTTTAAAGACACTGCACAGTGGTCCAGAATGTAGATTTAGGTGGAATGATATGTTTTGAGC